TGTACAGTGCACTTTAGAATTTAAGAGGGTAGTGCTCATGTGTTTCACAAAAAAAAAAAAACCTGCATGGGATTTTGTGAGCAAAATAGGGTATTTTGCAATTTAAATTCCCAGTCTATCTTGTGAAATCATGAATAAAATAAACATTACTTATTTATGCCTCACAAAGTAAATTCTTTTTGGGGAAAGTGATTAAGGAAAACCTAGCCCTGTTTTAAATTTTGGCATGAGTCAAAGGCTGCCCAAGGAGGGCAGCTACATTTAGGATGTACATGCATGGGTGACCAAATATAAGTCCAACACAGCTTTGATAACTGCTTTATAAAATGCTTACACCTCACTGAAGAGTCCATCATCTTAAAAGAAAATCTTGACAATGTTTATTATGTCCGATTAACCTACTAGTAGTCTCTCGAGTAATAAAAAAGCACTTATAGTAATGTGATTCCACTGCAGTAGAACTTTAATGTAGTAGTGCCATCTTTTGAAGGTTAAGTTTTTCCAGCAAGGAGGCAAATCTCCTTACATTTATTAATGTCATTTACCCCATCAGTTTATTCTTTTTGAATACTGAGCATGATACAGGCCTTGGTTCACACTTAACCTAGCAGTGTCCATTTCTCTTCAGAGAATGCGGCTATGTAACCAACTACTTAACACTCAGTAGGCCAGAGTGAGATTAAGTAAAACTACTAGAGAAGTATGCACTAAATCAAAGTTAAAATACATTTATATTTGCTTGCTGCGGTGATGTATCTTTATTTTTTCTTCCTGTGTGTCTCTAATGTAATAGGGTATTAAAGCCCTATCCTAATATTTAAATATGCCACAAATTTTACATGTTATTATAAATTCATTTTAATGATGGCTCCATCTACTGTGACATGATACATATAATTATATGCCTATTCATTAGCCAGTTCTTAAAAATATTTGTATTCTGACCTCCTGGCTAAGCTGGCTTCCCTCTTTTCTATGCACTGACTGATCCCTTGATGAATAGCAGGCTCTCTGGTAAACTAGTTGCCACTTCAGCATTATTTGTTTTTAGAAGTCTTACGTATTTCCTTTAACTGCTCTAGTCCAGGAATCTACTTTTGGGGGGGCGGGTATAAGGCCACCCAGGAAGTATTCTAGGCTTTTCAGGTCACAGTATCAGTCACACGGGGTCCCCCTGAACCCTTCAAGAACTTTAACTCCCAGGCTGTGCTTCCTATAGTTTGCCCATTTCTCTCCTAGTCCTTATTGGGAGAAAAAGGGTAAATCTCAGTTGTGTGTACATATGATCACGGTAACTTAAAAAGTTCTGGCTAGGGGGCGCCTGGGTGGCTCAGGTCATGATCCTGGAGTCCCGGGATCGAGTCCCGCGTCGGGCTCCCTGCTAGGCAGGGAGTCTGCTTCTCCCTCTGACCCTCCCCCCTCTCGTGTGCTCTCTCTCATTCTCTCTCTCAAATAAAATCTTAAAGAAAAAAAAAAAGTTCTGGCTAGGTATTTAATTCAATTTGGTCTTCACCATAATACTTTTTGGCATCTCACCTATCACTGTGTGCTTCTGTCTGGCCAATTAATACAGCAAGTATTAAAAAGATGCCTGCTATACCCTGGGGGAAGAGAAACTCAGTGATTAAGAAATCACTGAAAGTGGACTCCTAGGTGGCTCAGTAGGTTAAGTATCTGCCTTTGGCTCAGGTCACGGTCTCAGAGTCCTGGGATAGAGCCCCTCATCAGGCTCCTTGCTCAGCGGGGAGCCTGCTTCTTCCTCTGCCTGCCACTCCCCTGGCTTGTGCTCTCTCTGACAAATAAGTAAATAGAATCTTTAAAAAAAAAATACTGAAAGTAAGATTTAAGTTTATTGAAACAATGCTACAATGATATATGTATAATTTCAGTTAGATGTTTATATCACATAGCTCCTAAAACTTGCCACTGTAATTCTAATAGCTAACATAATGAAAGCTAGAGTTATTTTATGAAAATATTGTCATAGATTTGAAAGTAACACTAGTAAAAAAACAAAACAAAACCCTAGTAAGGTTAAGTTTCTCAAATAGTTTCTTGTTTACTTATGGAGTGAGCTACATGTCCTAATAACCTGTGTTGTTTGCCACTTACCTACCCAATTCCTCATTTTACTCATGTTTTTGTGGAACAGAATTTAGGATATTGTATTTACAGTTCTACAGGCCCAAAAGAAAAAAGAGCTGTCCAAAGATGCAATGAACTGCCCCAAAATCACTGTGGCTATTTGAACAGAAGTCAATCACTTTTTAGGCAAACTAATGCTTGCATAAAGAGGGAGAGGAATTAGTTAACACTGGATACCTTAGAGGATTTTAGGTTAATCCTAAATTTTATCAGTCTCCATTAATACTTGTTAAGCTTATGCTGAATGGAGCAAGACCACTGTGACAGCCCACAGATATACCTGGTCTTTTAAGATATACAGTGTTTGAGGGGTGCCTGGCTGGCTCAGTCGGTGGAGTGTGCAACTCTTGATCTTGAGGTTGTGAGTTCAAGCCCCATATTGGGTGCAGAGATTACTTAAAGTCTTAAAAAAACAGTGTTTGAGAGGAATTTTAGTAGGGTATTTTCTTGTTCATGTACTTGGCACTTAGGTAAACTCTGGCTTTAGGAATAGTGATACCTTAAGATGACTCTAGGAGCAACAGAAACCATCAAATGATAAACAAAAAATGAAGGCCAACTTCTTCTCTTTGATAACCATAACTCCATTCTTACCTCTGCCCTTGGGTACTTATATAGCACATTATTTATGACTGCAGCCACTCAAATTACTCCTCAGAGTTGAATAGGAAGAATGATTAACACAATGGAATGTTGGAAGGACTAAATTCCACACCTCATTTATCCTTTCAGCCATGACTTTATTAGGCAGGGTGAGTTAAAATCCAGTCCTTAAAAAAGTTATCTTTTCTTCTTACACAATTCCTTATCTTACTCATTCACTCTTAAATGCAGTTGTTATATTTGCCTTTCACGTTAAAAAAAATCCCATAGCTAATGATGTGGACTACTCTGGTTTCCAATTTGAAGAACCCCAACCCTTTAACTTGAAAAAAATACCCAAGTGCCCCAAACTAGTGACTTCTGCTCTGAAGTCAGTGCTCTTTCAGACAATGCTCTGAATGTCAAATAAATTCAATGAAGCGAGGATATCAGAGAGTAACCGTAACTCTCAGAGTAGCCAAATACCTCATCATCTAAACAGCTAAAAGGCACACAAGACTGATTTCCAAGCTAACAATATTTGGCTTTTATCTACTAGAAAAAAAAAGTTCAGTCCATCAGAATATTCTGAATTTCTTTGAAAACAATTTATGTTGCTATTCTGATGAAGTTACTAAGAAGAAATTTAAGAAATGGTTCATGGCAACAGTACTTCCAAGCTTCTTCGGTAGGAGAGGTCTAATATAGCAACACCTCCCAAAAAAAGAACTGAAAAAAATTCTTTGTACTGTAGGCTTGTATAGACCTTTTATTATTTTTTTTTTTAAAGATTTTTATTTATTTATTTGACAGAGACCGTGAGAGAGGGAGCACAAGCAGGGGGAGTGGGAGAGGGAGAAGCAGGCTTCCCGCTGAGCAGGGAGCCCAATGAGGGGCTCAATCCCAGGACCCAGGGATCATGACCTGAGCCGAAGGTAGACGCTTAATGACTGAGCCACCCGGGCGCCCCTGTATAGACCTTTTAGTGAAACACTTCATTTCACATACCTAAGTGTTTATTAAATAGACATCTTGGGGCACCTGGGTGGCTCAGTCGGTTAAGCATCTGCCTTCAGCTCAGGTCATGATCTTAGGATCCTGGCATCGAGCCCCACATCGGGCTCCCTGCTCAGCGGGGAGCCTGCTTCTCCCTCTCCCCCTGGTTTGTGCGCGCGCTCTCTCTCACTCACACTCTCTCCCAAATCTTATAAAAAAGAAAAAATAGACATCTGCATGAAAAGTACCTGGGTTTGTCAAAAATGCATTCCTGGGTCACACTAAGTAGTTCAGCATATGGTTCTTCAGGAATTGCTACACCCTAAGAAAATTGTGAGTGATGACACCTAACATCCTGTTCTGGGGAAGTTTGGGTGTGGAGCCCAGGAATGTATAGTTTAATAAGCTTCCCAGATAATTAGTGATCCAACTGGCTTGAGAACCACCAACTTGCAACATTTTTACATTCCCATAGCAGGGTAACTGATTTTAAAAAGTGGATTTTGGGGTGCCTGGGTGGCTCAGTCGTTGGGTGTCTGCCTTCGGCTCAGGTCACAGTCCCAGGATCCTGGGATCGAGCTCCACATCGGGCTCCCTGCTCAGCAGGAAGTCTGCTTCTCCCTCTCCCACTCCCCCTGCTTGCGTTCCCTCTCTCGCTGTGTCTCTCTCTCAAATAAATAAATAAAATCTTTAAAACCTGTGTCTCCCTCTGCCTGCTGCTCTCTCTCCGACAGAAAATTTAAAAATTTAATAAATAAATAAATAAGATGCCAGAATCTAGCCCTGAACTTTCATCCTGTTAATAGGGGATTGTTGAACTGTTAAGAAAAGTTAGCTACTGGGAAAGTTATCTCCTCTAATTAAGTTAAAGTACCTCTATAGTTATCTTTTTCTACACATTGTGAAGATAGGTTAAACCTGACAAATAAGAATTTATAACCAAACACTAGAGGATGGAGGGGAATTTCCAATTTGCCCAATACAACACTGTTTTGAGAGGCTTTTACCTGCCTGCAGTGGATAGTAGCACCAGGACGTTTGACCTAGGATTGTTCATCTTTCAAGATAATTGCACCTGTTACTGCACCTAAGAGGAATAGATGTCCAATTATTATTATTATTTTTTAAGAATAAGAATGGCTTTGCCCTTTAGGACAAATCATTAGCAATTTTAGGTCTAACTTTTTAACTACAAAAATTCATCTCTATCTTCTTTCCTTCTCTTCACAATCGAAGTTCAGGAGCTGTTTTGCAGATTTATATTTGTACCAAAGAGGAAGAGACCTAATTAAGCCAAACATTTACGTGAGCATTTACTATGTCCTAGGTATTAATGCAAGCACTATGTATTTATCTCAGGCAGACAAAGTGAAACACTGTCTTTCTGGGGCTCGCATTCTAACAGGGTGAGGGGATTCTAAATACTTAAACTACAGTAAGTGCAGGATAAATCCAGTAAGAGCTGGATAAAAGGTACATGGAATTATAAAGAACAATGGACTGTTTGGAAAAAACACCAGAGAAAGCTTCACAGAGGAAAAACACTTGAACTGAAGGATGCATTCACAAGGGGGAGAGAGGGACAAAGTACTTCATGAAGAGATGATTACATAAAAAGAAGGACTGAGAGAACAAAGTAGGTTTGGGGAAATGAGAGCAGTAGAAATATGGGTGTGGAAGCAAAAGAAGGTGCAACTGAATCTTTGGAAAACAGGCAGAGCTAGATCACAGGGCCTTGTTCACCAACCCGAGGAACAAGGACTCTTCCATTAAAGCATTTCTAGTAAGATTAGATTCACATTTTAGTAAAATCACTTTGAAGGATACCGATGAATTTTAAAGGTTAAGATTATAGCCAGGGTAAGCACGGAGGCCACTACACGGTTATATATAATACTTCATTTATTTGGCAAATATTCAGGGCGACTAACTACTCTATGCCAGGCCTGAAGTAGTAGTAGACACGATGAAAAGCAGGCAGACCAAGAAATAAAAAGGTTAAAATGGACATTACCAGGGACATAATGGACACGTGCTGTTAAAGGACTGAGGGTGGTTTCTGACAAGCTGAGACCATACTGGTTTTAGTTTGTATCCCGTTTTTTAGTTAATGTACAAGCATTTTCCGATATCATTACAAACTTGAATAACTCTGGGGAAAAAAACACTTTCTGGTAATACAGGACTGTTGCAGAAAATCCATCTGTAAGCCTACAATCCAAAAAGACCCAGTGAAACCATTCCACTACTTTACTCATCTTTTTTTTTAAAGCTTATTTATTTTTAAGAGGGGGCGGGGCAGGGGCAGAGGCAGATTCTTAAGCAGGCTCCACACCCACAGCAGAGCCCAACCTAGGGCTTGATCTCACGATCCTGAGATTATGACCCGAGCCAAAATCAGAGTCGGAGGCTTAATCGACTGAGCTACCCAGGTGTCCCTCTTTACCCATTTCTATGATAACACTTACGCAAAAGTCCCACAAAATTTTAACTCTATTTTTGTTACCATTTCTTTGTAGTAATACTTTGAAATGATTCTTTGCAAATAATTTTTAATGGCTGTTATTCATGGATTTACCCTAATTAGACTGTTGGAAATATATATATTATATATAATATACACATTTGTTTACTTCTAAGACTGAAACAGGAGTTGAGATACATGAATGATTCCCAAATAATAGCCCAAAATGAATTCTAGACAATTTTTCATTATTCCACAGCAAAATGAGAAGAACAATGTGACAAGTTTTTCAAAATGACAATTTAATCTTTAAAACCACATACAAAAGTCAGAGTCACCTGGGTGGCTCAGTTGGTTAAGCATCTAACTTCAGCTCACGTAGTGGTCTCAGGGCCTGATCCCAGGACCCCACATAGCAGGGAAGAGTCTGCCTGCCCCTCCGTGCCCTGCCCCCCCAACCCCGTTCATGCTCACTCGTACTCGCTCTCTCAAAATCTTCAAAAAAACAAAACAAAAAAAACAAACCCATATGTCCTTGTTTGCTGTTAGTAACTATTTTAGAACCAAATGTTGCATACACTGTCACTATTTGAAGAACTAAAACTGGCAACTATGTTTATTATCCATATTATCATTTGATTCATTCAAGAAATCCCAGTCTGGAAACCAATGGATTTGAATAGCTCTAAAACCTGCCAACTCTTTAGTTTGTCTCTCATATATACCAAATCTGATACATTCTATCAAAAAAACCCAAAAAACCCACACAAGAGTTTAATTGCTTTGTTGATTCATATCCTAGAGATCTACATGAACACTCATTTTATTTGATTTGTCCTAAACCCTTGAAGTTATCCTGTTCTCAAACAGCTCTGTATTGTTCGAACAGGAATGTGAGCCTTTCCCATCTTAACTATTCTATGCTATCAAGGCTCCTGTGAGACACAAGACCTAGACCGTGAGGTCCCTGATTTAGAAGGAACAAATCTAACCTGCTTGTTGGGAAGCTAGCTAGTCACTGACAGCTACTAATACACAAGGGAGTTACCCACACACCTTGACAAAGACTGTTTATTATGATTAATAATTACCCTGTTCTTTTTAAAAATTTTTTGTCAGAGAGAGAGAGAGCACAAGCAGGGGGGAGCGGAAGGAGAGCAGGAGAAGCAGACTCCCTATTGAGCAGGGAGCCTGATGGGGGACTCGATCCCAGGACCCTGGGATCATGACCTGAGCCGAAGGCAGATACTTAACCGACTGAGCCACCCAGATGTCCCAATAATTATGCTGTTCTTATAAGCACCTTTTCCCCAAGTAGCTCAAAGCCTTCTGGTACACAATGCCTCCTTGATGCACAGTAACAGCAGAATGAGCAAGAAAAGTAAGGTCTGCCAGTGAGACTGAGTGACTATAAAGAGCATGAATAATCAGACTCTAAATACTGAAAAATACTTTCAAATTCATGGCTTTTTCAAAATTTTTATTTTTAAGTTCAAATACAATTAACATACAGGGTTATGTTAATTTCAGGTGTACAAAAAGCCATAGCTTTAAGTCCACATGGCCTGTGATGTCAAACCTCTTCCTACTCCTCTCTCCAAAGAGAGCCAATACCCTACACTTACCTTCATATGAACGTTATAATAGAGCCCAAAGTTTAAAAAAAAAAAAAAAAAAAGTTCACTGGTTTGGCTTTAATTATTAAGTTCTAAAATACCAAATTTTATGACAGTTACAAAGCTATACTTTTCACTGAGAATTCTCTTTCCAGAATATTAAAACTTCATGCATAATGCTTAACTGTCTTCTCCCCATCTCCTCAAGCATTGCCCCATGACTTGATTTTTGTAATCTTGTTCCTTCATTTTACTTTGCTAATTCATATTTAGAATATTTTAAAATTTTCACACAAATTAGTTATTTCATAAAAATGCATGGCATGGAAAAACCGTTCCAGTTTATTTACCAATGTAAAATTAATTCCAGGGAACATAGGACTTGTTTGACTGTTTTAGAAATGGAAAATATAACCTAGGTATTTAATTTGGGGGGAATGCGTGATAGCAAGGATTGGGGGGGCAGTTTATGCATAGAAAACCAACCATCTGCTTCTCTTCCACAAATAACTCATTTTACCAAGTACCCTGTATGGACCACTTAACCATGAGTTTGAAGAGTTTAACCTTAAACTACACACTTTGATCTATGCCTCCAATTAAACTACTCTTAGAGTTTATCCTTGAACATAATTTTCCCATTTGGCTGATAGTAAAAAGGCAGAGACACACAGAAACAATTGTATGTCATAGCTATTAAGGTCTTATGAGCATTTGATTTTTACAACATAAACCTCACTCTAGTACTTTCAGTGTTTTTAGATTCTGAAAAAGCTATTTGGACCTAAAGCTATCAACTAGGAAGTAATCTACATAAATGCAACTTAAGAGATCAGTTTACTTTGTAGCTTAATACAAGAAAAGTTTGAGTCTTGGTTTCCCTCTCAATTTAACTATGCTAACTTCTGGTCATCTTCACAGAGGCTGAGCACTTTTCTAATACCAAACTTTGGTGGGTCAGCGATAAATAAATAAAACTCATTCTTGCCTCCAGAGGCAAGGATAACAAATTTATTTTTTTTTAAATTTTATTTTTAAGTAAACTCTACACTCAATGTGGGGCCCAAACTTACAACCTCAAGATCAAGGGGCCTATGTTCCACTCCACTGACTAAGCAGGGATAACAATTTAGAGGACTCTGATATACATGTATTTACAGAAGAGTATACACTGTCACATTAACTACAGAAATGGTATAGTTGTTGATCAAGAGAGAAGTCTGTAGAGGAGTAGAGAAAAATGGAAGAGGGCAGTAAAAATAGGAACCAAAAATTAGCTACTTTATGTTAATGATTACCCAGGAGAGATCAAGACACAGGATATAAAAAGTATTGAAAATAAAAATGAACTCAGGCACCTGGGTGGCTCAGTCGGTTAAGTGTATTTCTGCTCCGGTCATGATCCTGAGATAGAGCACAGTGTCAGGCACCCTGCTCAGCAGGGAGTCTGTTTGTCCCTGTGTCCCTCCCCCCTCCCACCAACCCCTCACTCTTCCTCTCAAAATCTTTTAAAAAATGGACTTATTTAACATAAACATTAAATAAAGGATTCATATAGAAATGAAAGAAAGGATCAAATGTGAAACACCTAGGTAAATAAAGTACTGAAATCTAAGTTATCTTGATGGATACTAATTTCCTCATTTGTAAAGAGGGCTAAATCAAAAATCCATCTCTTCTATCACTAGAAACTAATTGCTGGGGCGCCTGGATAGCTCACTCAGTTAAGCGTCAGACTTTTTTTTTTTTTTTTTTTTAAGATTTTATTTATTTATTTGACAGAGAGAGACACAGTGAGAGAGGCAACACAAGTAGGGGGAGTGGGAGAAGGAGAAGCAGGCTTCCCCTGGAGCAGGGAGCCCGATGTGGGGCTCAATCCCAGGGCCCTGGGATCATGACCTGAGCCGAAGGCAGACGCTTAACAACTGAGCCACCCAGGCGCCCCTAAGCGTCAGACTCTTAATTTCGGCTCAGACAGAGCCCTGTGTCAGGCTCCGAACTGGGCATGGAGCCTGCTTAAGGTTCTCTCTCCCCCTCTGCCCCTCTCTCTGCCCATTCGCGCCCCCCCCAAAACCAAAAAACTAACTGCTGTAAGATACACCATAAAAAAATAATTCAAGTTCAGCTGACATACATTAAGTATAAATGGTATTCATTCTTAGTTAGCTCTGACCTTTCATTATAAGGTCTTCGGCTCAGGTCATGATCCCGGGGTCCTGGGATCGAGCCCCACATCCGGCTCCCTGCTCAGCAGGAAGTCTGCTTCTCCTTCTCCCACTCCCCCGCTTGTGTTCCCTCTCTCTCTATGTCTCTGTCAAATAAATAAACAAAATCTTTTTAAAAAAATTAAAAAGAAAATAGGAATAGGTATCTAATATAGCTGCATTCCATCCCCCAGTGTTTTGAACACACAATATGAATATACACACAAACCAGACACTTGATATAAAATCACTGGTAGGTCAAACTTTGCTTTTCGAAATGTTTAACTGTTGGAGCCAAGAACCTTCAGAAAAAAAGAGATTGGCTATAATAAGAATATTTAGCTCACCCAGGAAACCATATTTGGTGACATCTCACATGAAACAAGGGCTTAGGCATATCTTTAAAAAAAATAAAAGTAAGAAAAATTTTACTGAAACTTGTTTTAGTTTCACACAGGTGTTATATTTGGGGCAGACTTCTTTTGTGAAGTAGAAAAACTATCCTGTCAAGTACCAGTAAGGCTTGATAAAACCATGCACAGAAGATGGGCATTTTTAAACTTTATTAAGTTTACTATAGCTCATGGTTGGATCAAAATGTATAATATGGAGGTGGTGCCTGGGTGGCTCAGTCTATTGAGTGCCCAAGTCTTTCTTTCAGCTGGGGTCATGAGATCGAGCCCAGTGCCAGGCTCCCCATTCAGTGGGGAGTCTGCTTGTCCCTCTCCCTGCCCTCCACTGCTGCTCCAACGTGCGTGTGTATTCTAAAATGAATTAAAAAAGGAGCACCTGGGTGGCTCAGTTGTTAAGCGTTTGCTTTCGGCTCAGGTCATGATCTCAGGGTCCTGGGGTCGAGCCCCGCATCGGGCTCCCTGCTCAGCAGGAAGCCTGCTTCTCCCTCTCCCACTCCCCCTGCTTGTGTTCCCTCTCTAGCTGTGTCTCTGTCAAATAAATAAAAAAATCTTTAAAAAAATAAATTAATTAATTAAAAAAAAAGATTGTCTCACTCCCTCTCCCCCACCTCCCTCTTATGGAAAAAAAAAAAGTTGTAATATAGAAATTTGCCCAGGCAGGAAATATTAATTCTAAAAAAACGTTGTCATGTACAGAATTTATACGTTATGTATTTATATAGTTAAAGAGAAATGCCAATGATGACAGTGTTTTTCCTTTTCAATGTCCTAATTTAAGTGGGTACGCATACAATAAGTTGTTTCTGCTTTCTAATGGGTGTACTCCCAGATCTATAAATGGATAAATTCTTCTGAAATATACACTGTAAAATGGTGAGAACATGAACGTTACCTGGGAATTACGAGAACTGTTTATATAAGACTATTTTCAAATCACAATCATAACTTTCTTATAGCAGTGGTTTTATATGGCCAGATAATGTAATGTTTAACAATAACCTCTTGGTCATACAAGGGTAGCATTTATCTGTTACAACAATGATTGTAAGGATTTCTGCTGATGGCCAAATGTGTACATGTTGTCCTAAAGCTGTAAAAAATGCACGTGGCATGGGCATAATAAATTTAAGATGTACAAACATGAACAAAAATACTAACCTGAAATCTGAAGCATCCTAATACATTCTTTTGAGTCTTAGAATTTTAATAAGGAAAGCAGGTGTCAAGATGTATTTCCTGATGCAGGAGCAAAATTACCAGTTCTGGCTTTTGTTATACAGGTAGACACAGGTTGCCTGTGCTACATGGATTCTCAGCATAAAAGTTAAAATGCCAGAAATCTCTTAAATCCATGTTTATTATTAGTGGCTATCAATTACCATCTAATGCTGTCAGGCACTAAGCTACACATTTGCCGGTAATTAAACAATTTACAGATGAGGAAACAGATGAAGCAAGTCAATCAAGAACATGTAGGTTGTAGAGGCACCTGGCTGGCTCAGGGGAGCATGCGACTCTTGATCTTGGGGTTGTGAGTTCTAGCCCCATGCTGGGTGTGGAGACTACTTAAAAATCTTAAAAAAAAAACAAAAAACAAAAAAAAACAAAACCTAAACAAAAAACACACAGATTGTAACAGGTGAGCATGAACAGGAAAGGAAAAGTCATCAGACTTGCTCATACTTGCTTTCTCATTCCCGCTTTTTACGTCCAACTAGGAAGAAAAAAAAATACTTTTAAACCAAATACTTTTTCTAACCCTAATCCCACCTAAAAGTGAGATAAAATTAGGAATGAAACTGATAAACCTAGTTACATGATACTTTTTACTAATGGTCTAGTTTTCAATTTGGAATTAGTTGGCAATAGCTGAGTCCCAGGCCCTATTCTGAGACTTTATGCCAGTCATTTCCCTCTTTGAGACGACTTCACATACACGTTATGACCAATGGCTGGTTCCCATTTTCTTTCTGATAAACTTTAATGTTTTTAGATAAAGAGGGAACCTATTCCTCCAGTTCAGTCTTTTTTTTTTTTTTTTTTTTACCTCCAGTTCAGTCTTAACCCTAGTATTCAGATTTTTCATGAAGGAAGGCTATGGTAAGGTAAGCCACTCCTTCCTGAAGAAAACTTATTTTTTAAGTTTATTTAAGTAATCTCCACCCCATGCAGGGCTCAAACTCAACAACCCCAAGATCAAGAGTCACATGCTTTCCAACTGAGCCAGCAGACACCCCAAAAACTTTAGATATGCAAGAAATGGCATTTCCCTCCCACATTCTGTAGCTGAAACCTGAAAAGGCAGCAGAAAGTCATTATTCTCAAGTTCATATGATAACAATATGGTAGTATACGCAACCTCTCCTCTGTCCTAAAGACAACTTGTCTGACCACATCTGTGCAAGATATTCTGTGGCTACTCTCTTTATTCCCATGCTCTCACTTTATGGCAAGTTAAAGGGCAAATAGGAGTAAAAAAGGATAAGATGATGCTCAACATTGCTCGGCATCAGGGAAATCCAAATCAAAACCTCAGTGAGATTCCACCTCACACGTCAGAATGGCTAAAATTAACAAGTCAGGAAACGACAGCTGTTGGCAGGGATGCAGAGAAAGGGGAATCCTCCTACACTGTTGGTGGGAATGCAAGCTGGTGCAGCCACTCTGAAGAACAGTATGGAGGTTCCTCAAAAAGTTGAAAATAGAGCTACCATACGACCCAGGAATTGCACTACTGGGTATTTACCCCAAAGATACAAATGTAGGGATCCGAAGGGGATGTGCAGCCCAATGTTTATAGCAGCAATGTCCACAATAGTCCAACTATGGAAAGAGCCAAGATGTCCATCGACAGATGAATGGATAAAGAAGATGTGGTATACATACGTACAATGGAATATTATGCAGCCATCAAAAGGGATGAAATCTTGCCATTTGCAATGACATGGATGGAAGTGGAGGGTATTATGCTGAGCGAAATAAGTCAATCAGAGAAAGACATGTATCATATGACCTCACTGATATGAGGAATTCTTAATCTCAGGAAACAAACAGGGTTGCTGGAGTGGTGGGGGGTAGGAGGGATGGGGTGGCTGGGTGACACTGGGGAGGGTATGTACTATGGTGAGTGCTATGAATTGTGTCAGACTGTTGAATTGCAGACCTGTACCTCTGAAACAAATAATACATGTTTAAAAAAAAAAAAAGATAGCAGGAAGGGAAAAATGAAGAGGGGGAAATCGGAGGGGGAGACGAACGATAGACTATGGACTCTGAGAAACAAACGGAGGGTTCTAGAGGGGAGGGGGGTGGGGGGATGGGTTAGCCCGGTGATGGGTATTAAAGGGGGCACATACTGAATGGAGCACTGGTGTTATATGCAAACAATGAATCATGGAACACTACATCAAAAACTAATGATGTAATGTATGGTGATTAACATAATAAAATTAAAAAAAACAATTTTCCTTAAACTATATTTTCAAATAAAAAAAAGGATAAGATGTTACATCAAATGGATGATTAAAGAATCCTTTAAAAATTAAATGAATCCTTTTTGGGAGTGAGGGGATTCACTAGCAGTTAAAGATTTTGAGTGCTTAAATTATGACTTTCTCTTTACTCTCGCTAAACTACTGTAAGTGACCCAGTACAACTTACCTTACTAATTTAAAAACAAAAACTCTTGTTATTCCTAAATCCTTAATTCCATCTGTTATATCCTCACTTATTAAGCAGTGATCTTTCCTTTCTTTGAGGTTAACCGTTAGCAACAAACCAACCTATACAAAAAGAAATGGAAATGGCTTTAAAACTGAGCTAAATTTAAAAACGTAGAGGGCGCCTGGGTGGCTCAGATGGTTGAGCGTCTGCCTTTGGCTCAGGGCATGATCCCAGGGTCCTGGGATCGAGTCCCACATCGGGCTCCCTGCTCTGCAGGAAGCCTGCTTCTCCCTCTGCCTCCCTCTCTCTCTCTCTCTCTGTCTCTCATGAATAAATAAAATCTTAAAAAAAAAAAACAACAACAACAGCAAAAACCGTAGAAATAAAGGTTGGGAGAAACTAGCAAGTAAACATTTAAACAGACATAAATGCTTCAGAAGTTCTAATCACCAAGTAGTTTATCTTGCCAACCTAACTGAAAATGTAAGGGCTGGGAATTATGTTTTGTGCCATCTTAAATACAGTAGGAATGCCAATTATTTTATTCAAATTAGAGCTGGAGTTCCAATCTGTCCCAGGAACAAAGCAATCAGAGGGGAAAACCAGATTATAGTTTTAAATTTGAGACACAAATATCAATATACTTTGGGAGGGGCACTCTTAAAAATACTTTTGAAGAAAAAATAAATAAATAAAAAAAATACTTTTGAAGATAAATATTAAAGTGACATAATCTTAGAATAAATTTCTATATAATTTAGCTCGATTTAAATTTTAGTTGTATGAAATATCATTTACTCTAGGTCGACGACCAGTTTAATAGGAAGAGTACTGTTTAAGAGATAGTTGTTCAGTGAAGGTATATTCTGTACCTCAAAAAGACAAGGCTGACCATACTGCTGTTCTGTGGTGTACTTACAACAAAGGAACGGAAAAAAACCCCAAATCCAATTTTCTTTTATAACACAAATACAAGATAAACTCTGCATACTTCAATGCTTATGGCAAACAGAGGCACCGAATGGAAAAGGCCATAAAATACTTCTAAGAACACAAAACACAATCACACGCTCTAAATAGGACAAGCAGAGTAGGGAAACTAGATACATTCAGAAATTTTATTCTGTAAATTACCACTCACTAGGAGCAAAGAAAGGATCTCCAATAAATTTCTCAGCTCTTCTTCATTGGCTCCATTTTTACATTTGATATTAAAGTTTACAATTCACAACGAATATTAAAGAGCCCATTTTCTACATCTACTGTTAAATCATTCCAGAGAACAGTACGGTGGGCTCTGTAAGCTTTTGCTAGCTTTCTATTTGCTTCATTCAGGTGAAGAATACTATTAGTTTCTCTATTTTCCAAACCAAACCCCGTACTTAAAGATGTTTCCAACTTGAACAGTTAACAGGGAGACTACAGGACTGATCTTTTTTTTTTTTTAAGATTTTATTTATCTGAGAGACCCCAGCCAAAGGCAGACGCTTAACAGACTGAGCCACCCAGGCACCCCCCTGTGCTTTTTTAAAGACTGATTGAGAGAGAAAGAGATAGCGAGTGCGTGAGTGCGCTCTCGTACAGGGGGAGGGGCGGCTCGATCCCACGACCCTGAGATCATGACCTGAGCCAAACCCAAGAAGCCATACTACTCAATGACGCTCAACCAACTAAGCCACCCAGGCACCCTTAGGCCTGATCTTTTTGAATAGCAGAAGGCAGTTAACTTTCAAAATGTTTTTTGAATACTCAGGAATAAACCTATCTTTTTCTTTTTTTTTTTTTTTAAAAGATTTTTATTTATTTGATAGAGAGAGACACAGTGAGAGAGGGAACACAAGCAGGGGGAGTGGGAGAAGGAGAAGCAGGCTTCCCGCAGAGCAGGGAGCCCGATGTGGGGCTCGATCCCAGGACCCCGGGATCACGACCCGAGCCGAAGGCAGACGCTTAACGCCTGAGCCACCCAGGCGCCCCTAAACCTATCTTTTTCTTAAGAATCAAGTTGATTCAAGATATCCACAACCTTCGAAATTTTTGAGGATCTTTCCAAATACGAATTTCAGGTTTAGTGTTAACATAAATAACACGTTGCCCAGGAAGAACGAGACAGCATTAAATTCATTTTTCAGTAAGTTAAACTAATCAGGTGGTATGTTTAACCGTAACATTTTAAGGTATATTTAATGGTTTAAGTTCAATTCTCAGACATAAATCTTTTCATTCTACACGTAGACAACATTAAAGTCGGGTGGGGCAGAGGAAAATTCCACATAAAAATAAAATCCAGTGAAGTCCCATATAATTTCGAATATTTTCTTACTTTGAACTTGAGCTTCAAAACATAGACAATCACTATTCAAAAATACCCCAAAAGCTTTAACAGCAGACAAAAGGGTCACCAATGTTTATAAAGCTCAAATCTGACCCTTAGAATTCTTATTGAGGATGGGCGCCTGGGTGGCTCAGTTGGTTAAGCGACTGCCTTCGGCTCAGGTCATGATCCTGGAGTCCCTGGATCGAGTCCGCATAGGGCTCCGTGCTCAGCGAGGAGCCTGTTTCTCCCTCTAACCCTCCCCCCTCTCATGTACTCTCATTCTCGGTCTCTCAAATAAATAAATAAAATCTTAAAAAAAAAAAAAATTCTTATTGAGGACCTTCATTTAACATGCAATTTTAATCAGCCCTATTACTGGAATGCCAATCTCATGATACATAGAACACATGTAGGTACCAGAGGCTGGCACATGGACACTTATAAATTACAGAAAGAAAAATGACAAAAACTAAACTCAAGGGCACAAAAAATTGGGTCCTCTAGTATCAGAGCAAGCAGTACTAAGTACTTTGATAAGCCCCAAACACATCAAGGAATTATAAGCCCAAATAATCACTGGTGTTTATATACTGAAGTTTGTAGGTTAAAATGTCCTCTAGATTTGAGAAATACGATGTTGAAAAATAAGGCCAGTTTTTCCCTTCCCATTTTTCTGGAGGCAGACGTATCCCATCAGCAGTCCCCTGACTCCTCTCTTATGTAAGTCAAAGGGGAGGAAACCTGGCCTGTGAGCCTCCTAATCTACTTACTCATCAAACCCTGGTAGGTCAAATGTGTTTTTGAAAAAGTGTGAAAGCTATGTTTTACAGTTTGCACTGCAGTTTATTAGTAGAGTGTTATCCCCTAAACACACACACAAATAAACTTGTACACCTGAATGCCAACCAGGCATTGGGCTGGGTCATTATGCAAAGAATGGATCCTAGGACTTGGGAGCAAGAATTTGGAAGTTTCAGGAGGCAAAGTCTCAAGTTACCCAGGAGTGGGAAGAAGTACTTCGGGTGGTGTGGACAAAGACACAAACTATGAAACAGCTCTACCTATGTGTTTTATCCATGAGGGGATGTCTGCCGCCTGAAGCCGATTATAAAACTTCCAATTATACCAGAGATGACGATTTGAATAAAAAATATAGGAAGGCTGGGGGTGGTATGGTTTACTCAAATAATGAAAGAGTATGAGAAGCAAAAATTTTTTGAGGGAATGGTTGAACAAAGTTCTCTGGAATCTAGTACCAAGCTCAGTATTTTTTATGGGAGTTTAGAAAGCCTGTGGGCCCCCTTGTATACTTAACATTGCATTAACAGATGAGATAAAAATTGAGGCTTTACTGGAGTCATAGGCACAGATGAAATTGCCCAGAGAGAACATACAACGCAAGATAGTCAAAGAAATAATTCCAAGTATTTAAAACGCCACAGGAATGTGGCAAAAGAAAAACTAGAGTCAAGATCTGGCAATTAGGAATAATGTGGACATGCTGACCAAAAAGACAAAAACAAGGATGTTTCTACTAGCTTGAAAAATGGCCTCTCTTCCTTATTAAGGCAGAGTGAAGCTAGGAAGACTATGAAAATTATCTTAAAAACGTGACTTCATATTTGGTCCCTTTTTCCTGAGCCAAAATAAAAGTTGCTATGACAGTTAAGGGAGACACAACTTATACGTGACAAACAAATCCTCCAGGTTAAAGATGCCCATTTTCTAATCACAATGCACCAACACAAAAAAAACTCTGAACTCTAAACTCTTTGTAGTACTTATTTACACTTTAGTTACAGGCTTTTCAGTTCGTATTGTTACTTCACTGAAAAAGAAAGCCACAAAAACTAGCAAGGGTTTAAGTATAAACAAATGAATAAAAAGTCTTGTTTTCAAACTACCAAGTCTACAACTAACACTAAAGAAAATAACATAACCTTGACCTGAGTTAAACCCATCTTTTCAGGTCCAGCAAACGTTTCCTCCTAGCACCAGGTGCGTTCTGTCAAAAAGCAAGCCATGTTTCCGTGCAAATGTCTTTGTTGTGTGTAACTCCCGGCTCTCAACACCACCCAAAGCGAGAAGCCTTTTGAATTTTCACTAGTTAATGGCTACTATGCGTGTTTGGCTAAGTGGGAATAATCAAAAACAAAACTAGCATTTATTACAGAATCTACCAATAGAGACTACTTAAAAACTTTCCAACTAAAGACCGTCAACTAACAAGGTTTCGAAAATTAAAAGTCATACTTCTACAGAAGTGATTTAAAGAGGTAGCTTCATAATGGTGCAGGAATCTTAACATTTACCGAAAGTGATTTCATTTTTTATTTTTAAAAACCATAGTTAAGAGGGCGACAGAAAGACAAAAGGATTGAAAACACCCTCACTTCATATAGATTACAGCACTAACAGCTTTTATTCTTATTACCAATCACGCCTAAACTTAAAAAGAAAACCATATCCACTAAGTTTACACATTCCTGTAGAATACACAGATAGGGAAGATAGGAGAAGTACAGAGGGAAGGAACAGAAAACCTGAAAAGGGTCCTCAAAATTCCGATGGTAACTTTTAGGAAATTTTAAGTGTTCCTGGGTGTTATTTACACCTTTTACACTTGCTTCCAAATTTAGGAAATATTTTTCTACTGGAATCTGAGAAACTTTACGTTTTCTCAGAAAATAACGGATACTTCTTGACGTTGTGGCCTAGCTAGTCTCTGCTTTTTACTCCATCCAGTGGCCCTCAGGGACTCACAGTTGATTGCGACTCCCACATTAGGAACCTGCCACCTTACGTAAGCACTTTGCAAGGAGAAAGGTAGATAAGAAAATAGGGCACCGAACCTTCTCTTCCACCAACAGCCGTCACACCCCGTGAGTGTCCCTCCCGGGGCTTTCCCCCGGGAGCCGCAGCTGTAAGCTATCTGGGGGAGGGGAAGCGCTCTCAAACAGTCAGCTCTTCCTCTTCGGGCCGCCAACGCCGACCGCACCACAGTCTCCTCCGCCCAAGCCCTTTCCCCTCCCCCGCCCCAGCCTGGGTCGGAGCCAAACCCCACAGGAATGCAGCCCGGTCACATGCGCTGCGGCGGCGGTGGACGTGCCTCTCCCCCCGCGCCCCAAGGAGACCCAGCGCCATCTTGCCCTGACGCAGTTACAAAAGTCATGGGAGGAAGTGTGTCTCCTCGTCCGCGCCAGCGCCCCAAAGTTTCGCAGAGGCCGAGCCGGGGCCCTCACCTCGCGCAGGGACAGGAGAAAATACTCAGGGAAGAGCCTTGAGATTCTCTTCGCCACTGCTTGGGTTCCATATCAGCCGCGGCAGCAACGATCACCATCGTCACTTCTCCCTCTCTGCCTTTGCAACAGCCTCCCCCGACGGCTCTGGCCCCACCCGCTGCTGCAGCATGAGGTCATCGCCGGCCAATCACGACGCGCCCGACGGAACACACCAGGCACTGATTGGCTGCACGGACCGCCTCTGCCTCTCCCCACTCGGCTTACCAAGCGCTCCGGGTCTCTGTAGAGCGAGAAGACGGAAACCGCCATTTCGGGGGAAAGACCCCGAAAACAAGAATCGGGATCACCGTGTTATTTTAGTGGGGAAACCCTTGTTTTATTCTTTGACCTCCCCCTTTTTTCTTCGAGATAGCCGTCTCTCAGTCCCTCCCTCGTTTAATCACCGCCACATAAAGGAATTCCCGCTCCCCACCCCGCATATTGTCCCGCCGGCGGGGAAATCCTTCCCCGGGGCCAAAAGAAGTAGGAGGCAGCGACGGCAACTGCACCGACGGCAACAGCAGCTTTTTACCCCGATACACGGTGGCAGGAAAGCGGCGCTGACGGTGGCTGTACTTTTCCTGCTGCTTCTCCCCCCGACCTCTTCCGTTTCTCGCTCCTCCATCGAGACGGCGCTGGACGCTCCAGCTCCGCTTTTATCCGGTGCCCGGAGTCTGCGCACTGGAGCCTCCTCAGCCCCTAGTGGGCGTCGAGTGACACCCAAACCGAGTTCACCCAGCACTGGAGGCCAGACTGGGGAGGGGGAGGGGAAGACTGCGACTGAGGTTGTTTGGGGAGTGGGAGAAAGGGCATGGCTTTAGGAGGGTGAGGGGACGGGGCGGTTGTTCCCTGGGCCTACAGTCCTTATCCTTCCCCCCAGTAGTGGCGTGCCCAAGCTCGCCGATATCCACACTTGAGGGCTGCTCAGGGAAAAGGGGTAAAGAACCAATCCCACCAAATACCGAAACTTCCCCAAACCTTCTGTGAATTGTTGAATGCATCTGTTGTGAAAAAGACGGAGATTCCGCCCACCTCTCTGCCTCCAGTTGGTTATCTTCAAGCCTCTGTGGAAGAGGCAAAGGCGGGCGGCAGCCCACAAGCAAAATGGCGGCGGGCAGCTTCGTTCCCCTCCCCCTCTGCCCCTGCGGAGCGGGGCGGGCGGGCCCCGTGCACTTGCCGCCGCCGCCGCGGCCGCCGCCGCCGCCGCCGCCGCGGCCGCCGCCGCCGTCGCCGCCATTTTCCCAGAGCGAGAGGCAGTGACACTGAGCGGGCGCAGGGGGCCGAGTCGGAGACCGTGCCTGAGTTCGGGAGCGGCAACAGAGGGGGCATAGACACTCTGAGCAGCTTTGCCGTCGCCTCTGCGTTCCTGTTGACTGTTTGGGTGCCCCCTCCCCTACTCCTTGATTGCCGGTGAAGAGGCTGCGCGCTGCTGTTTGGGGAGGGGGTGTGTGGAGCCGGGTCCTCTGTCCGCAGTGGCTGCTGTCGGGGGGTCGTCTGTTCGCGGAGGTGTGGAGAGACTCTCTGGGGGTCGAGCAGATAAAGGGGTTCGGGTGTCTGGTGTGTGAACATCACAGGTCAGTGCCTGTCGTCTCCTTGGGAGTTCTTGGGGTTTGAGGGGTGGAGGGACGCGTGTTTCAAGGGGGAGGGGGCTTTCTCATTTTTATGCTTTGGGGAGGGGGGTTGGGGGAGTCGGCGTTGACTCTCAGGTGTCTGGGCTGGAGCAAGACGCTGCTTGTTTGAATCGAATTTATCCTTTCTCTTCCCTGTCCCTAGAAAGGGAGCATTATGGCGGGTTTTAGGGCTGGGGAAAGGGGAAACCGGCAGTTAAACCCCCTTGAGAGTGGGAGTTAGGGAGGGGGCGCACTCCTTATTGGCAGCGGGTTAAGGGCGCTTGGGTGAGGAGGGAGGCTTGTGACTGTTAGGAGGGTTTGTGTCGAAGTAGTCCCAGGAGCTGCCAGCTCTCCCTTTCCTCGACCGCATCTTGTTCAGGTGCTGAAAAACCGTACAGGCCCCATTTTCTTCTTCCATTAATCGCCTGGCATTCTCTGGTATAATTTTCTGGTAAATACTAAGGGGGTTAAAAGGACGCTCTGGGTCTCTATCTCCCTTTGTGGGAGAACAAGACAGCTCCTCATCCTCTCCGGGAGAGGGTAAACCCGCCCCAGAGGTGGTCACCCCAGTACCCAGCCTTCTCAGTCTCCTCCCCCACTCCTCTTGCATTCTCGCCGTCCTTTACTGTACCGGAGGCTTAGAATCCACAACATGGCACATTTCAGAAAAGCTTATTTTGACCAAGGGATTGGCACAGACACTGTGGCAGCAGATACAGAAGAGAAACAAACGGTTCACTGTGCTAAACGAGGGAGGGGAGAGAGAAAAAACAATCCGGAGTGCTCTCTTCCACTGGCCTCAGTTCCGTAGAGATCCGTTCTTGCTAGAGTCTTAAGAATGATACAATTTAAAGTCAGAGAGAAATCGCTAGAGTTCGCTTTGGAGTAAACCCCGGGGTTTTTTTGTTTTGTGTGTGTGTGTGTGTGTGTGTGTGTGTTTGGTGCCTGTTTCCCCTCCTTTTAGAGATGTGAATAACGTAAGGTGTTGGAGTTCTGGAGACCTTGGAGAGAATTAAGTGAGGTGCATTCAACTCTAGGCTGGAGACATCAATACCTAATTGGAAGATGGCCCCGTTTTTTCCTTTATTTTCCGAGATGGGAAGTAAAAAGTGAAATTTCCCTCTTTTGTCCTTTACAGATTCTAAAAATGGCGGCCCCAGGCTGATGTTGTGGTAATCTAATCAGCTCGGGTCCTCCACACCCCATGCAGTGCGTTTGTCTGCAGCATATTACAGGCTTATTATGTTTACATGAAAAGACTGTGCTGCTTTTCTTTCCCAAATAGTTTACAAAAATGTGTTGATTTTACTGCAAATTACAATGCTGTGTTTTAGTTGATTAATTTGATTGGTTTTTCCTGAGAGGCAAATAAAATGACACCACTTCGGAAAAAAAAAAAACCAGTCAGGTAGCCTTAGAAATTTCAGTAGTGAGGTAGGTGCTCTTAAACATTTAAAAAACAAATATTTGGGACAAGGAATAGTTTTTGCTCTGCTTAGTGCAAGTGTTTTTTATTCACTGTGCTAAAGTAAGTTAAAATGTTTAGTAAGTGTATAAGTGTAACATTTTGTGTGACTAGATGTTTTAATTTAGAGTGAAATGTTTCCCATCCACCTCTTGACCAAATTTGTGAATTTTGGTTTTTGTACTCTGTCAGATTAATTTTTAGGGAGCTGTACAAACAAGCCTAAACCTGTTACTTCACTGGGTGTGGAGATGCTTGTTCTTCTCACTATTATAGTTTGCATCCATTTTTCTCATATATTTAAGCATTCCTTAAGAATTTTCTAAGTTTGTATATTTCATGAAGTGCAGCTACACACTTTGCTATCTTTTAAAATTGTTTTATAGCATACTATCATAATTATGTAAGTAGAAAAGTAAGGCTTTAGTTCTTGAAACCCCCCCCCCCCCCCATGCCCGTTTACCTATTTTGGGATGTGGAACTTAGTCTGTTTTAATGATTTAAATAACAGCCATACTGTAATAGAGGGTCTTGAATCCATTTTATGCTAATTTCAGAATCTAATAGATTGAGGCAGAAAATCAAATGGTATCATTTAACAGTATTTTAAAAAGTGGGAATGGTTAAAATTCATCTCTGTAGTGGGGGGTTGATCTTTTTGGCCTGAACTCAGCAATGAGATATCAGTGGGCCATTAATGGCATTTAATGACGATTCTGATATGGACTAACTGAAAGATGAGTGCCTTTCAATCCAGTAGTTCTTAAAAAGGTTGGAGAGTATACACCCTTTCATGATTCTTTTATTTCCACTGTAAATTCTGCTCTAATATTTACAATGGAACAAGAGAATCATGAAGCTCATATATGAATTAGTTAACTTTCTGTTCTACAAAATAATTGTAGAAATAACTGGCTTAGAGAGTTTCATCATGGAAGAGTGAGCACATAACCTTACTTAGAATCTTTGAAATATTGTAAAATGAAATGTTGGTGGGTAGTAAGAGTTTGTGTAGGGATTTCTGGTCAATACTCATTTTATTATGCTCTGAGTGATCATGTAGGTCTGGATCCGTAACTGCAGTGTAAAGATTGTGCGTTTGTTTTATAGACTATGTGGTTAAGATCTGTGGTTCAGAAGGTTGGTACTTTAAACTTAATATCAAATGTGTAGGAAATCAGTATACTCTTAAGGAAATGTGGTTTATGTAGCCATGGGAGGGAACACTGTCTACACCCATTGTTTTTTCTTGATAGTGACCTTGATCAGGTCTAGACACACAAAGCATTTGGACTTACTTGGTTTCAAATAAACAATGCCAAGTTAGAAATTATGAGAAAAGCTGCGTTCACGCTATTAGCTTTCTTCATACTGGGCTGCTTCATTGCTTTGGATTTTGTTTGTTTTGATAATATGTTTTAAGTATATCGTACTTTATTTTAAATGGTTACTTTATAAATAACATGGCTATAAATGTTTGGTTTTTGTTAATGTATACCCGATTGACTCTCTGTGTTTTAAATTAGAGTGTAGAGGCAAATTTTTTAAAAGGGTAGGCATGGTTTTTTATTCTCAGTGAGTTTTGATACAGTAGGTCTCTTGGGGGGAAAACTAGTCAAATGGTCTTTGTTCTTAGGGTAGCTGAGTTTTGAGGGATTAGGTTTTATCTGTTTAAGTGGATTTGTAGAAAATCATAATGTAATTGGAGAGTAAATTTTATTTTTAGAGACTGTATTTTGATCATACTTCCCTTTTGTTGTCAGTGTACGTTATAGGATCCTTTTGATCTCAATTTAAGTTTAGAACCTTTACGGGGTTCCTCCATTTCCCTTCAACTCTTCAGATCTCTGATAACTCTCTCACAATTTTGGCTTGTCTGTCTTACAGCTTCCAGCCAGAGAATTTTTACCATGTATACCACAGTAAGCTCTAGGACTTCTTGGATCTAAAATGAGGAAGTGAGGATAAAAGCCAATTAATAATTTAAGAGAAATTCTTCCCTTTAACACATACCTTAGTGGTCTTAGTGAAAGTCTAACTTCTTAAATTGGTTTCTTATTTCTAAGAATAATGTACCCATTTTCATGCATCAAAGTGTAATACCGATGGTTTTACTTTTATTTTTTTAAAGATTTATTTATTTATTTATTTGACAGAGAGAGACATAGTGAGAGCAGGAACACAAGCAGGGGGAGTGGGGGAGGGAGAAGCAGGCTTCCTGCTGAGCAGGGAGCCCGATGTGGGACTTGATCCCAGGATCCTGGGATCATGACCTGAGCCGAAGGCAGACCTTAATGACTGAGCCACCTAGGCGCCTGATGGTTTTACTTTTAAAAGTCTGTTACATAAATCCTAACAGCTCTGCTTTTCTGGAAGTTAATACTGGGACTTAAATGTGTGTTATCATTGGGTATTTAAAATGGAGAAAACCAGAAAGACTTGGAAGAGCTATCAAAAACTGCTAAAGAAATATTAGTATGGAATCTTTGTAAAAGATGCTGTTTATTTTTTTAATATTTTCATAATGTGTAATTAGGTTTTATTTCCAAAGGATTTATTCACAGTAGAGAGTAGGTGCTCAATTATTTGTTGCATTTAAAGCTCATTTAAGCAAACACATCTCAAATATTCAGGGTGATCAGGGACTGTTCCTTGTCATGTTAGAATAAATGTTTAAATACTTGTGTTCAGGGAGACTTTTTAATGTTAGCTATAGAATTATTTTTTATGGTAAAATTACTCTTGTGTCGACTGGCAAAATAACAAGGATACTATTTTAGATATTGCTGTATAAATGTTAGTTTTTAGGCTGAGTTTAAAATTGGAGTGGCTTACTGTCTCTTTTTTTACTGTCTTTTGTAATGTACCAGTGTTGGGAAGAGCCTTATTTTTTAATATTAAACAGATAATATGTATTAAAAATTTATTTAATATGGAAGAGCAGTATTTATGGTTGAAAATATTTTTTTAGCGCACCAAATTTGAAGTGCAGTATTTAAAAATCTTGCCATTTGCAATTAAACAGT